GAGTTTTCTCACTGTGCCCGGTTTCCCCAGTAGTCACCAAGATTGGTGAGAAATCAGAGCCAATCGTAAATTAAATAAATTACTCACGGCCAAAGACTTTCAAAAGCGAAATGGCAAAACCCCTTGCAATTTTCTTTTATAGCTGAAAAGTTGTATTTATTCTGAGAGGAAGGTGTGTTTAATAAAATATGCTAGGAGAAGAATAAGGCCTGCAGAGTAAGTGGTGCAGGCCTATGAAGATAAACGGGCTCAGCTCATGCTCCTCTTGCTGAGTTTTCCAGTGTGGCTAAGTTGGTGTCAGAGATGTAACAGAGATGAGTAGAGGCTGTGGCTAGAGGAGAGGTAGGGAGCATCGCCTCCCCCTGAGGCTTTCCTGCTTCCAAAGAGGAAAGCAAAGATCTCAGAGTCCTACCTAATGAAATTTAGTTGTGCTGGGGAAATTGTTCAATGTGGAAATTCTATATATGTGCCAGACTAACTTCTGAGCTCTTTATGGGTATTATCTCAATTGTCACAAAACAACCCTCTGAGATCAGTATTTTATTATGTCTATTTTGTAGAAGAGCTAACAGAAGCACAAAGAGGCTGGACAATTTGCCCAGGGTTATCAGGATAATAAAGGGGGAATTTAAGAACTTTTCCAAGCTAAAAATAATTCATAGATGAAATGGTATCTGTGACCATTAAATGACTTACTTTGAGCTCGAAAACGAGGCAGGACAAAGCCTGTCTTCTTCACCGCTCTTTCTTTAGCTCCTGCAACAGTGCCAGGCACCTCAACATTTGTGCTGGGGGACACAACTACCTGTTGTATAGAGACTGGAATAAGCTCTGTTTATGCCATGACTGCCCTATACCAGGAACTCATGGAAAAATTTTTCCCCTTCGCTAGGCTATGGCTCTGGCTGGAGTAGATATTATGGTTTAGATGTGGTGGCCCCCAAAAGCTCCTGTGTGAGACAATGCAAGAAGGTTTGTAGGAGAAATGATTGGGTCACAGCTTTAACCTAATCAGTGATACAATCCCTGATGGGATTAACTGGGTGGTGGCTGGAGGCAGGTGGGGTGTGGCTGGAGGAAGTGGTTCATTGGCGGAAGGCAGGGGGTTGCTATGGGGTATATATTTGTATCTAGAGAATGGAGTCTCTCTTTCTGCTTTCTGATCACCATGTGAGCTGTTTCCCTCCACCACACTCTTCCACCATGATGCTCAACCTCACCTTGAACCCCAAGGAATGGACCTGGCTCTATATGGACTGAGACCTCTGAAACGGTAAGCCTCCAAATAAATTTTCCCTCCCCTACAGTTGTTGGATCCTTCAGTCACTGTCGTGAAACAGCTGATTAAAACAGAAGAGGACTTATTCATCGCTCATCTCTGCCTTGCACAATCATGGCCTGTGATAGTTGCTCAAAATCAAACAACCTGGAGAGGCTCACCTGATGATTTGAATCCATCGAACAATTTCCCCAGCACAACTAAAATTCTCCCTCCCTACGCACAGCACAAAAGCTGTTGTTCAGAAGCTCTAAAGGCATACATTTCAATGTAATCAACAAGCAAACCAATGTATAGCACTTTTATGTGGCTCTTATGTGCCAGGTGTTGTTCTAGCAATTACTATGTGTTAAGCAATTGCTTAGTAATAGAACATCTACCATGATTCTACAAAGCAAGTGTTCTTTATTATTGTCCTATTTTACAGAGGAGGAAAGCAAGTGTTATGGGTAGGATTGTTCCTTCCGAAATTCATATGTTAAAGTCCTAACCTCTGATCTCTCAGAATATGGCAGTATTTGGACCTAAGGCCTTTAAAGAGGATGTTAAGATAAAATGAAGCCATTAGGGCCAGACTTAATCAACTATGCAATGCTGAGGATCATACCCAGGGCCTCATGCTTGCTAGCAAGTGCTACCCCACCACTGAGCTATAGCCCTAGTCCTGGCGCTCTTTAAAGACAAGTGTCCTGCACAGAGGTCACGGGAAGCGACAGGGAGAAAATGGCCATCTACCTACCAAGGAAAGGGACCTCAGAATGAAGCCAGCTCTGCTGACACTTAGATCTTGAACTTGTATCTGGAAGAAATGTGAAGAAATAAAGTTCTATTATTTAAACCCAAATAGTGTGTGTGTGTATGTGTGTGTGTTTTAATGCAGCCCTAGCAAACGAATACACCAAGGTACATAGTAACTTGCCTCGATCTATATACACTGCCAGGGAACTCAGAATTTAATGAACTCTGAATCTGAACCCAAGTACTTTGATTCTAGAGTCCACGTGTTTTGCAATAATAGAAATGTCCTCTCTACAGTTTATCACGGTAGCCACTAGGCACATGTGGCTACTGAACATTTGAAATGTGGTTAGCATTAAAAAAAAAAAAACCTGAAAAAAAATTTTAACTTACATTAAAATACAATTAAAATGTAAAACAAAAACCATGTGGCTACCATAATAGATGTAGCTGTATACAGTTTCACGGCATAAAACTTAAGGTGTTTGCAGAATCTTCTAGAAGCCTTCTGTGTGTGCTCTGAGAACCGTGCTTCTATCCTCGTTCCCTCTGCCTGCTGTATTTCTTGCAACCCTTTCCACCTCAGCCCCTGTTGCCTAGTTTCCTGCTACAGGGAGCAAGGGGTCAGCTGGCTGGCTTTCGAGAATCCTGTGGCCTGGGCAGTGCAGGGTGGTTGGTGCTCTGTGCTAAGCATGGGTGTTAGCCAATCAAATGGCAAGCAGCACAAACACTGAGTGACATTTTCAGAACTATTAATATTTCATCAGAAATGATCACTTTCCCTTTAAATACACTATCTTAAAAGGTTTTCTACATTCTTAACTATAATTTTATTCAGTCTAGGTCCTCGGAATTTTCCCCAAAGGAGAGCATCTTCAATTTTATAATGAAAATCAAAAAGGGAACGAAGCTTGGATTTCAAAATTCAAGAGTCAACATTTCTAGGAACTCAGCCCCTCTGTAAGGAGCAAGGTTGTGTTGGTATGCCAGACGTTTTATATACTGTACACCTTTAGTTTATCCAACATGTATTTATTGAGGGCCTACTATATGGCAGAAATGGGATCTTCAAAGTAGTTTTATTATTTTTATTATTTAGCACTATTTCAGGAAAGAATTTCCTTCGTCCTTCCATTTCATCTCAAATGTTGCCTCCTCAAAGACCCTGCCTGGACCACCTGCCTCTCCTCCTTCCCCATTGCCTTATCTTGTCAGTTACTTTCCACCAGAGCCTTGATTTCACCCTCTATTACTGCTTCTTCACTTGCTTGCCCTTTAGTGATCTATCTCCCCCCATTGGAATATGGACTCCAGGAGCGCAGGGACCAGGCCAGTTTTGTTCACCCTCTTGCCTCTCCAACGCTGAGCAGCTCACCTGGCACAGAGCCAGGGCTCCGCTGATATTGAGGAACCCAGGAAGAAGACTGTCAGGGTGGCAGGGCTAGGAGAGGCAGTGACAGGACCAAGGCAGCCCTACTGCTACAGGCTGCCCTCTCTTCTCCCTTTTTTCTCTGCCTCTTGCAGGTCCTTTCCAGGGGGACCGCTGGAGGAGCTACCACTGCCTTTGGGGGCCAGAGAGCCTGGGGGGAGAGGTGCCGAGCCGGTTCTGGTTAAGGAAGCCTCCTCACTGAGATTAGGAGGGTACTGATCAGCAAAGAGCCCTTCTCGCTGCTTCTCCACCCCGCTGTCCCCCAACCCCAGGACCTACTGAAGCCAAGGCTGGGAGTCTTTCTGACGGCTAAGGGCACAGGATTGGACCCAGAATCCTGGGGTTGAATCTCACCTCCCCATTTCTTCGTGGGCCTTGGACACACCCTTTAAAACTTTTGAGACTCAGTTTCCTTCCACCATGTAGAACGATCGTGAAAAATGGTACTAATTTCATAAGCTTGAATAAGATTAATATGTCTCCAGAGCCTGGCACTCAGGCCCACAGAAGGGCGGTTAGGGTTCAAATCAGGAGGATAAAGGGACACCCAGACAGGCTCTGAGGTTCCCTGGGGGTGGTGGGGTGGCGCGGCAGGGGTTTGGCCATGACGTCTAATGGGAAAAGCGTCCTGGGGTCCTGCGAACCCCACCCCACCCCCACCCCACCTGCAGGTGCCCGCGCACCAAGCCGTTGCGCTTGAAACCCACAGAAAGAATTCCAGCGCTCGACGGCAAGGGTGTGGGAGCCACTGGCGAGAAAATTGGCCACAGCCGCCCGGCCCGGCCGACCCTGCGGACACTGCGCCCTTTTAAAGGGTTGGGAACCTTCCCGGTGCTGATCGCAGCCCTGCGCAGGGGGCGTGGCAGGTGTCTGCTGGGGGTCCGCGGCCGGGCGGGCTGCCGGCCCATTGGCACGTTGGGGATTTATTTCCCAGGCAGCAGAGCATCCTCAGGAAAGGGGGTCAGAAGCGGGGATCAGGGACAGCGGCAGCCACGACTCCCAGGGGGGCCAGGGCCGTTGGCGCTGGGTGTGCGCGGGGTTCCTGGGAAGGCCCGCGCTGAGAACCTCATGGCAAGCTCCTGCCCCCAAGGAACCTAGCACAGTGCCAGGACCTTGCCCAGCCATCCACTGTGGCTCAGCGGGCAAGAATGGGCTGAGCCCCAGGTGCCGCAAGGAGTCACAGGGGTGTCGCAACGGGGGAGTGACAGGGATTGTGGGGAGAGCCAGTCCTCCCCCTCCAGCTGCTCCCAGATGTCATTCTGCCCGCCCAGGCGCCTGGTTCCTGAGCTCCCGGGGATTCCACAGTTACTAAGCTACTGGTTTTTGTTGACTTTTAAATATTTTCTTCTAAGGGAGAAGGGGAGGGGGGCAAAAGTCAGCAACGAGCAAGTAAAAACAAGTCAAAATAAGCCCCCTCTCCCCCAAAGAAAGCTGTCCACCACCCACCATCCGTACACAAACCCAAGGCCTTCCAATATAACCATCTGGCTGGAGCAACAGCCGGACAGGACTGACCTGCTTCCCAGGCTCCCCCCTCAGCGCCCTTCTTGGTGAATGAGGGGCGGTGGTGGATGGTCTCTCTGTCTTCCAGCCCTGGGAGGACAAAGGGGCTTCCAGAAAGAGAGGAGGAGGATGGCCAGTGGGAATGGACTCTCTTCATCCTCGGCCCTTGTGGCCAAGCGCCCCTCTGCCCTGGGCCCATTCCCCAGATATGTCTGGATCCACCAGGACACACCCCAAGACAGCCTAGACAAGACTTGCTATGAAATCTGGAAGAGAGTTCAGGGCTTACCTGAGGCCCTGCAGCCCAGGACCTCGATGGAGCAGCTCTCTACCCCCATGGCTGGAACTCCAAGAGACCGTGGGTTCAGCTTCCAAGAAGAGTGAGTATCCATCCCTCTATTTGGTTGGCAGCAAAGGCAGAGGGAAGAGATGAAGTGAGACCTGGGAGAATGTTCTGGCTTACTGTTCGGTTTAGTTGAACCCTAAACACTCTATATCTTTCCTCCATTCCCATAGTCCTATGTCTATGGTTCTAGGTTCTGAAGTTACTTGTGCAGACAGCCTGACCTAGGTTGTATTCCAGACTGTCTTGTCACCAGCCAGCTTAGGGGATATTGCTCATTCTAAATAGGCAACCTAGAGGTGGATCTGGAGTCCTTGTAAAGCACTTTAGCCAGGTTGAGGGTTGGACAGCTCTTGATCATCCCGAGAGGCAAATAAAAGATCCCTCCCTTCTCCCATGCTAAATCTGGGCATTCGTGCAGATAAGACTGGTGGATTTAAACCACATCTGGAATTCCCTAATATGGGGAGCAGCTGTCCCATTCAGCCTCCACATACGCTACTGCAAGAGCATGCATCAAAATATTTACTGGGAAGGCATTGACATATTCAGAGGACATAATAGAAAATTAAAGTGCGGGAAGATGGCTGTAAATAGCCTGTTTCCTAGATGGGAAATCCTGTGTCTGGGAAACACAGAGCTAAATGTTTCTCCCCCAGGGCAAAGTTGGATGGATATTGTGGGGGGATGGATATTTACAAAGGGAGGAAGGGGCAAAGAGGAAAAGGGGAACCTCATTAGGAAAAGGAAGTAAATCTGCCGCGGTTATTAATGCTGCTGTGGAGCACTTCTTCAGTGCTCTGCATCTTTAAAGTGGGCCACAAGCATTAATTAATCTTCCCAGAGTCCCTATGAAGCAGGTATTAGTATCCCCATTTTACAGATGGATTAAGTGTTATTAATTAAGTGCTAACTAAAGACTAAGTGATAATTAAGTGTTGTCTGCTTCAACACATGCTCCCTCCAGCACAGTTCAGAGATGATGCTCTGGAGTGGCAGGGGGTGGGGGAAGTCAGGCATTTATCAGCTGCTACTGGTTTCAGGGATGTCTAAGCAAGAGCTCAGAGCAAAAGTGATGTATAACTGAAACCCAGGTCTGCACTACCTGCTGTCCCTTTGCAGGCTTATATACTTGCTGCAGATGAGAGTGGAAGGCACTTGGGCTGTTCCTTCCTCCCCTGCCCTGTGCTCAACATGACATGGCTCAGACAGGAATGGCCTGTCCACAGCCAAAATCCTGCTATCAGGCCTTTCAGTGGCACTGAGATCTTTTCCCTTGCCCATGGCCATCTGTTCTGGGACAGGGCCTTGGCAGGGGGTGCCTTGGGGCTGTGCTCAGCTCTTAATGGCCAAGGAGCTGAATGGCCACTTTGTGGACCCAGGGTCAGTAGCAATTTCCAGTAGATGGCATCCTCTCTGCCAGGTCACACTGAATTAATGCAGACAGACTCGACTTCCAGTCTGCACTTGGCCGAAAATTGAACTGAAGCACCTTCGGCCAGTTGCTTAACTCCATTTGGCCTTGATTTGCTCATCTGCAAATTGAGGATGATATGGCCTGCCTTGTCCACCTTAGAGTTGATAATGAGGATCAAATGTGATGGGAGACAAGGAAATGAAAGATGCATTAGACAAATGAGGCTGCCCTTGATACGTAATTCATAGAGTCTGGGGCTTTCTGCCGTCGTGGTCGGCTTCCATCTGGGGTTTTCACACTCTGCTCCATAGATCCCAGGGTGCTTCTGCAGCCACCAAGAATCAAGTGGCCTGTTTCTGGGCCCTAATTCCCACTTCAGCTGGAGCTGTTCAGCTTTCATGGGTTTTACTTACTGGAGTTCTGAGGAAGGTTACATTTGAAAAGAGTTCTACTGAGAAAAAAGCCGGGGAGCCACTGACTTAGATGAATAAACGATATCATAATCGTGTAGATATCAACCAAGGAGAACACAATGAGCTATTCTTGAAATAAAAGGCAGCTGTGCCGCTGGAGTCGGACAACTCTGATTTCAGATCACATTTTATCCCCACGCCAGCGGCAGGATTTGAGGCTGTTTAATTAATCTGAGCTTTGGTCTCCTCATCTGCCAGGTGGGAGATGATTACTGTGCATTTTGCAGGGCTGTTGGGGTGGTTAAATAGGATAATTTCCACTGTCCTGATAATAATTAGGATTCCTAAAAGTCCCCATAACGATGATGGGAAATTTTTCTATTACTATTACATGAGGTAGGTATTATTTGAAACTCCTATCATTTTTACTTTTATTATAGTAATTTTAAAACAAAACATCAAGTAGTATAGTGAATAGTAACATGTCTAATGCTGAGTTTCAATAATTATCAAATTGTGCCATTTGGGCTTAATTGGTCCCTTAGCCCCATTTTTACGTGAAACTCTGTTACAGATGAGGCAAACCAACTTTGGATGGGTTGATTTCTTTGCTGGGGATCCTACACACTTAGGAAGTGGTAGTCTCTGAAATGAAACCCGGGAACCTCTTAGCCATGATGTGATGATGGTGGCTCTCTCCCCCTAGATGATTATCCAAAGATGCGTCATATTTGGAGGCATATTCTGAGTGATTCCACATAGATTTGGAACCCAGGGTGCTGTCTATGGCAGGTCTGGGATGCTTTCAGGTCCACAAGACACCTCTCAACTCTGCATTGCTTAACTTGTAGATTTGGTTTGGGTGACACTTTCTTCCATTGGGGATAGCTAAGTAAGTGAATTCTAGAACTCTTGTTAGCCAGAATTTTTTTTCTTGACCCTGGTCCTATAAGTCACAGAAACCCAGGTGTCTCAAGTTTGATAGAGATCTTGAAGGTGACCCTGTGCTGTTTGAATCCCCTCCCCTACATCCTTGCCAGGTGGCTATCCACTCAGATGCTTTCTTAGGTGGGGAGCTGCCCTTTCCTAGGGCAGCCCCTTCCTTTGCTATGAACTCTCTCAAAAGGTCATTTTCTTCCTGTAATTGAAATCTGTCTCCATCAAACGAATATCCAGTGATCTGGATTCTGCCCTCAGGGCTCCAAGGCGAATCTATCCTCCCTTCCCTCAATAGCTCTTTAGATGATAAAAGATGGCAGCGATATTCCTCCTAGACTCTCTGGTCTCTACAAGCTAATGCTTCTAGTTTTCTAAGTTCCCTCAACCTGCCGGTGTGGTTGGTTTCCTATCCACGTGGCTGGGCCCGTGGCGGTGTGGTTGTACAGCAGTCTTCCAGGTGTGGTCCAGTGCATGCAGAAGGGGTCCTGGCTACTGTGTGTATCCCTGTGATGGTGATTAATACCACATGCTCTTGTCCCTCCACACTGACTGTTCGGTGAACACATTTTGACTTCATTCATTCTTTCAACAGATATTTATTAATCGCATGCCTGGCACTGGGCTAAGAGTTTGGGGGATAGAGCTAGGGGGATAGATACTGCAACCAAAAAGGAAGTAAATAAAAACTGTGATCATGTTGGAGTGTGCGAAGAACTAGTATTCTCCTTTGGAGGAGACCAATGATAAGCACATAAAAATAAATGAGATAATTTCAGAGAGCAATGAGTGCAATGATAGAAATAAAATAGAATAAAGTAATAGTCAGAGACCCTTTAGATGGAGGATCAGGTCTCTTGAGCTGAATCCAGGATGCTGAGAAGGAACCGGTCGGGTGGCAATCCTGGTAAGAACATTCTGGCAGAAGGAAGGGCAAGCGGAAAGACCCTGAGAGACACAGCCTGGTTGGAGTGCAGTGATGGATGGGGACATGGTGTAGGCAATCTCAGAGTCTAACAGACAAGGTTCCAGAGGCCTGAGCATCACTGGAGGGAGTTCAGGTTTTATTCTGTATATGGTGGGTCACGTTTGGAGGCTTTCAGGATGTGGGAACAACACAGGTTCATTATTATTATTATTATTATTATTATTATTATTATATTTTTTAAGATGTATCCAGCTTATGTGGGGAGATAGCTTGTAGGTGTGTTGAGGCCGGTGTCAGTGGTGGTGGCTGGAGCAGAGTGAGGACAGCAGAGACATGGCTGGGATGTGAGGGTTCAGAGTCAGATACGAGAGGAGCCAGTGGACTCGCTGCTGACCTGCGGGCATTGAAGCTGATCCTGGGTTTTTGGTTCAAGGCCTAAGTTGACCATGGTGCCACTTGTCGAGGTAGGGGAAGAAATGGCGAGAAGTGAGTTCTGACAAGAAATTAATGGCTTTTCCTGGTGTCAATGAAACTTCAGAATCTTTTTCAGTTATTTTTTAATTAGTTGTAAGTTTGAGCTTGGAGAATTGTGTCAAGCCGCTTCCTGACTCACATTCAAGGATTATCTTTTCTTTCATTCCTCTCATCACCAAAATTTCACAGCCTCCAAATGAGGCCTTTGGATTTTCTGTTGACTCCATGCTCTGACTGTGGAAAAGAATTTGTTAATTCTTCCCAGCCAGGGCCCTGTGGCTGGGTCCCAGGGATAAGTAGGACAGAAATCCTCTGTCAAAGAACTCCCAGTGATATCCAGTAAACATTTATTGTACACCTACTATTTGCCCATGTTGGAAAAATATGCAAGAACGGAAAAGATGGAGTTACCTCTGACCTTCTGCCTGCATCTTGCAACACATTATGATAAGTGTTCTGATGAAGACATCCTAGGGCCATGCAGCACATCAAGGGGACTTGAACTGACTTAGGCTTGAGACTTGGGGAAATCTTCCTGGACAAGGTGAGGAGAACAAGCTGAAGGGTCCACAGACATGATCTCTGAACTGTGAATGTGATGAAAGATGTTCCTGGGAGCAGAAGAGGTCATGATCCTGGTAACTGTGAAGGTCTCCCTCATCAAAGGCCTCCCCTGAGCTAGGTCTTGATAAGAAAGAAGGGACAATTTATGCAGGTGCAGGACAGGATGTAGTGTGTGCCAGGGGCCATGAGAGAGGAAAGATGGGCTGCACCTGGCCGGGTGTGGTCAGCCTTCCTGGTTGCTCCCAGGTCTTTGGCACAAATACCCAAGACTTTCTCATCTATGCAAATCAGACAGAACTTGGTTT